GGTCGAGGAGCCAAAGACAAGTTTGATGCGATGCATCGTTGGAGACTCAGACACAACGTAGCCGATTTCGGGCCGATTGGGCTAGAAACTAAATGATTGCTGAAATATGCACAGTGCCATTAATTCTCTGATGGTTGAGACGTTGGTTGGCTTCAAGTCAGCAACTGACCAATGAATCATGGTATAACCACAGATGTAACCCAACCCCAGTTCTTTGATCAGACAGTAGGTGGTCTGGTTTTTGGAGCTTATGGACCGGCCACAGAGAAATTATTAGCACGCGTCGGGTATCTCCAAGTACAAACGATGTTCTGACATGTACCACGTCATGTACATGAATGGACGTAAACTGCCCTTAGCCATTTCAAGAAAATGCGCGTTTGTCTTGATCCGAGCGCACGCATCTATCCCGACAACCACTAAACCCTGGATTTGAACGCTGATCTTGTGCCATTCAAAGCAGGATAAACCAGAGACACGAGAGACCGAATTATTCAGGGCCATTGTGGGGTGGGCGATAGGGACAGAATCACTCTTGACCAGGAGTGTCACAGGTAGTCGTTGAGGTATATTGCTTAGGCGAGGGACCTTGAATAGCCAAGTCCATACCCTACGTCCAGTACATGGACACTCCAATTGCTTGACGTAAGGATCAATCTAATGGTCTAAGAATTCTGACTGGCAAACAATCTGTGTCGAAGATCGAGTTTGTCGTCGTTTGATACCTGGTCAACTAGAATACTTTTCTATAGGCCTACTGTTCAAGCTTTGTGACCAAACCAATATACCACGAGGCTGTATACAGTAAGGTACCCGGTCTCAGCATATTATTATCTACGCTCCTCCAGCTTGACCGTGGAACACGCACTACCACGCGCTTGCGACATTCGGTCGCCAGTCCCCGCCCCCAATTCCTTCCCTTTAGATCGAGGCGGATCCTTAAGAGTTTTTAGTTTTTTTCCAGGGCTCAATTCGTCGCGGATATTGCTGCCAGCCTTGAAGTGAACAGTCTATTTGGTATGCTGGCTTGTCCATCTAAGCTTTTTGGACATTACGAGAATTGTGCCCATCATAGCAGCATGGGATATCTCAAACTCCGCGAAAACGTCTCGGCAATGTTAGCCGACTCCTCTCTACTTGCGCTCTTCTCTCTGATAATTGTCCAAATCGGCTGTGGTATCATATTGAAAACCGCAGAGCACCATGGCACTTACCGCTTCTCGCCATCTTCGTCAGTAGCCATTTCAGAAATGCTCAAATTTTTAATTTCTACTTGTCTTCTCTTCCGACAATATCGTGTCTGGCTCAACACAGAAGCTGGCTACGCTCCTGTCGATATTTATGATCCCATCGACGAAGAGAGCCTTGAGAGTTCAAGCTTTAGTACTGCCGGGCAGAGCAAATCGATGCCGCTGGCAAGCCTAACTACTCACCACGAACTAAAGCCACCAAGCTGCGTGCTTTATATTCGCAACCAAGCTGGCTGTTGCTCCCTGTCGGGATTGCTCCACCTGGCACTGGTCTATGCAATCATCAACAACACGGTTGGTATATCTCGATGGCTGCTTGATATATATATATATCTTTCTGACCATACCAGATTTTTGTATGCTACAAGCTCGCAGATCCGGGCACGATACAGCTCAGTAAGAGTAGCATGACACTTGTCACAGTGATCATTGCAGTAGCTTTCAAGCGGAGGCAGATCTCCAAGACGCAATGGGCGGCCATTATCCTCCAGGTATGGTACCTCACTGATGCAGCGTTCACCAATTGTTTAGCTTACATCGATAGGTTTCCGGCCTGGCAGTGACACAGTACGATCCAGAAGGGGGGTCGATCTATCCAGTGTTCACATATGCCTTTCTTCTGCTTCAAGTCCTCGTAGGCGCTGCAGGCGGCGTATATAATGAGCATCTTCTTAAGAGTGGTGAAGCAAGCCTTCACTTCAAAAACGCGGTCCTCTATGCTGCCGGAGCCACCGTCAACTTGGCGGTACACTTCGCTACTCGGATTTTCAAACATGACGAACCTTCGATTTTGGCCGGCTATAATGACATGTCTGGTATCCTCGTGATTGCGAGTAATACCCTCGTGGGACTTGTTGTTAGTGCCGTGTATAATTGTATGTGCAGAATCTCGTAAAGCGTCATCGCGCTGAGCTCCACGCTAACTAGTACCTTCGTAGACGCCGATGCTGTCATCAAGTGTGTATCATCTGCTTTTTCCACCGGGGTTCTTCTGTGGATATCATTGATGTGTTTTGGGCTTCAGTTACACTTTCTCGCCATCCCGGGAACTACTATTGTTTTTGTGGCATCGTGGCTTTACATCTCTTGTCCATCAATCGAATTAAAGGCGAAAGCTGACTCTGGACTCGAACCTGAAGCCACTTACGTGGAGCCTTATGGTTCCGACAACATGAGTCGATGGCCAAAATTGGTATGCTTTATACTTCTACCTCCAAGAAATATAGTCGATAAATACTCATAGCATAATTCAGATACCAAAGGTCATAGTTTCAAGCCTCGCAACTATGGTGGTTGTGGCGCTGCTAGTCGCTTTGGCGTGGATTGGCCCTCTACCATCGCCAGCAGGTTCTCAGATGGAGGTGGCGAGGCCACAACGTCCGGACGGCAGCGACTACGACATTGTTCCTTCTGTACATATTGAGCCATCCATGATTCCTCCTTTAAAGGATGGCCAGAGCGAGACGTCCGCCATCTCCAACAGTTCGCCCGTTCCTTCCCTCAATTCGACATTAGCCCTGATTCGATTCAACAGCGAGCGCACCGAGCGCCTCTCCTGGGTAATGAAGTACAAGGAATTCTTCCACACACTCCATTTCTCCATGCCAGATATGCTTTCTGGCTTGCCAGACGACTTTCAGAATATCACGCATGATCAGTACTGGGCATCCAGTACCCCATATGTTCAAGTTGCGCGAACGATGGATATTATCCTACAAGAGTCGGCGGAGATCACGGGACTTTTCTATTTCCACTTCGATGCATGGATAGATCCGATGGCCTTCGAAAGGGAAGATCTGCACATAATGTGGCTCGCAGTTACAGGTCTGTCGCGCGATCATCCGGATCCATTAGGGCCACTATTCCTATGTATAGATAATATGGTGGAGCAGCCTCTGCCGTGGTGGGCGCGGGCAAGAAACCGTAACCAAACAGTCAAAGCCCTCCAGGAGCTTGAGGCTATGGGTCTGGGCTACCGTGCGCCTTCACATGAAGGTTGCTCTGGCTGGTCAGATATCTACTATATTCCACGTCGGTTTTTCCTCGACTATATCTTCCTCGCCGACCTTTTCAATCGTCAGCAGCCACCAGTCTTCCACGAAGTCGCGATACCAACTATTCTTGGGATCATTGATAAGAGCCGGCGGCCAAAGAACAACCCATTTCAACCGCTTCTGACTCTTATTGGTGATTGTTACGGTTCGTGTTGCGATGATGGGGCAACGCCCTCCGATATCTTACAACGACGGTGCGGACATAGATTAGACTTCCGCAAACAAGATCTTGTCGATGCCCACTTTAACCGCATAGATGAGGAGCTACGTTGGCTTAATAATGTCACGACCGCCCCGTGATGATCACGATTCAAAGAGCTCTCTATGTTGGATTAGGTGCAAAGGGCCGTGCCCAACATCGTTAGTCAGCTTGGTTTACATTCGTGTTAGCTTTAGACGGAGGGTCCCCTTTTAGTAGGCTCCTAGACCATTATGGTCATAGTTCAATTTAGCAGTGAACCCTTTCCATATAAGGCTCTTTTCCATATAAGGCTCTGAGGGCCACCTTTTGAGTGATCAGTTTAGGTAAGATCTAAGGTAGACTCATCGGTCTGTAGGGTGCCCTATAGCCCGTCTTAATGCTTACGGTTGAGGCTACAAAAACTGGATCGTCTTCCTTGGTATGAAGCTTGACGGTAGCTTGAATAGGTGAACATCGATAAATGAGTACCTAGAGCATCTAGTAAACTATACCATAAGAATCTACTTAAATCTACAGCAAGCGTTTCGAAGAAAGGGAACATTAGGAGTATTAGAATATTTGAAATCGCTTATAACTCGATCGAAGCAGCTTAAGTAAGTAACTCGAAGTTTAAAACGGAATGACACCATACTTTAAGATAGAATAGCAATCTATATAAAGTAATTGCTAAGCATTAAAATAAGCTGCATAAAGATGCAGACCAAAAGAGTCAAGCATACTCACTCAAACACCAACACTGATGACAGGAAGGTGGTAGGCCCTCGGGAGGGCCTACCACCTTAAGAAGGTAGGTCATCGAAGGGGCCCCTAAGGGCCTACGACTACCACCATAGGGGTGGTGTCGGCCTCATAAGGCAGCCTATATAGGCCCTTAGGCACTTTCTGACCTATCCTAGAGACAATATAAACGTCTCTCAAGCTAGCTAGAGTGTCTAGCTATAGGGTGATTTGTCAACTTTGCCCGCCCCAGCTGCGAGCCTGCAGGTGCAGTTGTGGCTGAGTCCAGCCGGATTCTGCCTCTCTGCCTTGCCGTGCCCAACGTGAACAGGCTTTTTAACAGGGTGGGCGAGCATGAGACAACGCATGGCATGGGCCCGGCCAGCTCAGAGCCTCGTCACTTTACCACACCTCATCGACTCCGGATCTCCCATCGAGATCTTACCCTAACATCGCACAAGACCGCGTTCTTTGCCGTGCCATCTCCATAATAGAATGAACATCGTCAGCAGTCTCATAACCATCGGCCAGGCGGCGGCGGCCATCCCGGCGCTCATCGACACTATTCAGGCAGTCTCACACGTAAAGAGTAATCTCTCGGGGGTATACAATGAGGCGAGCCTTTACTTTTGAACCGGCCTCCACCGTCAAAATGGAACGCTGACATCTCTTTAGTTGGCAACAATTCAAACATCTCTCAAGGCGCTCGAAAGCACCACCTTCGGCTCGTTTTATGCGAAAGATGTCCACCCGCTGCTTACTATGCCCGAGCTGCCAATGCTCCATTCCGGACGTATCGAGATTCAGACAGTACGCTGGGACCTCGAAGAGTTGATTAAGAGGCACGGTACAAAAGGCAACACCTACAAGCTTTACAAAGTTCGGCGATTCAAATGGACGTGGGAGTTGAGCGACATCAAGACATTGCAAGACAAGCTGGAAAGATCTAGAAAACAGATACATCTTGGTCTCACTGAGATGGTTGCATCGTGCGGAACGTGAGTTTGACCATCCTTTGGGGAACCGTGTACGCTGACATCTACATCCTCAGAGCTCAGAGCCATATCCCTAGCCACGTTACGCAAAATGTCAGTCAGACAGAAGCGTTCCGTAGCTTAGCCCACAGGGAGACCACCCCGCAAAATGTCATTCAGACAGAAGCGTTCCGTAGCTTAGCCCACGGGGAGACCACCCAGATCGAGACATCCAGCTTCCAGCCACCTCAATACAGCCCCAGATACACATATAGATGCCATAGCCAATGGGGCAAGTACCAGAGCCTGAGGTGGCTGAGACCTCTCCTAGGTGGCTTCTTCCTCCATTATGACAGCCTCTCCGTCTTTACGAACAGTGCATGCAGCTCACCAAAGTGCAGAGGTTCGTGCTCGACTGTGCGCTTCTACTACTATTTTCCTGGATGGCTGTCGAACAGAATGCTACTCGTGTCAATAAACTTCGGCTTGATGAACAACTTCGAAGCCCTGTTAGCTATACAGCAAATCATTGCTCTAGATGATGATATATGGCGTTCTATTGAGTATGGCGATACGAGACGTTTTCAGCAGTACTTTGCCAAGGCAGGATACCACCCTGGAGACTGTGCTAGGAATGAAAGAACGCTTCTCAGTGTAAGTAAACATACAACCTTTCTTCAGCTACGCTGAATTTGCTACTAACGCAAGCCTGTACACTTTATAGCATGCAACTAGCTGGCAGCGCTATGACATTGTCGAGTTCCTTATCAAGACGTGGAATCTCGGCGGGGTAAGGCGGGATCATTACACTGACCGGTATGTTTTCATTCGGTGGCTGTTCTCCTGTGACATGGTGTAACTGATTGGACTTCTCGTAGCGGAGCAGTATTATGGGCTCGCGAATTCCTCGTCCAAGCTGACTCCTGGCAACTTGACGACCGGCAGAAGTGGCTTCTGGGGAAGGTGGCAGCACTAGGTGACGACGTTTATAACAGGAGCGACAAAGGGGTGATGGTTCTGAATGGCCCACAGGCGGTATTACAGGGCACCGATACGCTGAAAAGGCTTCTCGTTACGGATCCATTAGCGGTCCACAACGCTGATGACTGCAACATGACGGCGCTCCACACAGCGTGTATCGTGGGAGATTCGGTCGCTGTCAAGCTACTAATTGATGCGAGGCTCCCCCTGAATGCCTGCGACTGTTACGGAAGGACTCCACTAATAGTGGCGCTATACAACGGGCAGTACTTCTGTGCTCAGCTTCTGCTCGATACCAAGTGCAATATTAGAGTCGTCGATAAAGATGGATATAATGCTCTTTGGTTCGTAATGAAGGAAGATATAACACCGACATTTGAGCTGCTGAAGCACATAATCACCGAAGACCCGAAGGGTGTCGCTGCTACACAAGACATACTCGGCAGAACGCCGTTACACTGGCTCTCTAAGGTCTACGGGCCTACCGAATTGGCCGAGCAGCTGGTGACGCTACTGCTACAAGCGGGGGCCACTCTAGAGCCACTCGACTCCGATGGAATCACTCCACTAATACACGCCATAAATGAAGACAACGCCCTGGCCGTACGATTGCTGCTCCACGCCGGCGCCAACCCAAATCCCCCACTTGACACCAAAAATGGAGCAAACATCCTCCATAAAGCAGCGACGTGGGCCAAGCTCGACGTCCTCGACGCTCTCACCGACGCATATATTCTCGGCGTTGATGTGGACGAACAAGATCGAGACGGCGATAGTCCACTAGTTTGCTGGAGATGGCGCAGGTACGGAGACGAAGATTGTTTACTCATCGGAATGACTCGTCCTACAGCTCAAGAGAATCGTGCGTTTGAAGCTCTCCTGCGAGGCGTCAGAGACCGAACCTTTCAAGCAGACATAGATCTATGCATCGAAGTACTCCAGGCAGCCAAGGGCGAGGACTATCTACGGGCAAAGGAGCTCATTGACCCGTCTCCAATCGACGAGGGCGAGAAAAAGGATGGATATAGAGGCTGCAAAGCTCTACGGACAAATATTCTCCTGCAAATAAAATCCGGGTTGTGGGACTCTGCAATCACAGAGCTAGAAGACATGATCGAGACTCGCCGCCATCGCATGAGCAAATCCCCCTTCCAAGAGGAGTCAAATCGCTACTATGTAGATCCTGTAGATGACTCACAAGAGGGTGAGAGCGAAGAGGATGGTGATGAGAGCGAAGGGAATAGTGAAGACGAAAAATACGAGTTGGCCTGGGGTGGTGAAGAGAATGCAGATGCAAGAGAAATTTCAAGTATTTCGGAAGCATTGAATGAGTTGGACGAGTTTTCTGATTTCCTGGGACCGGAGGCAACAGACGCCAACCCAGATGTCCCGTCTACTAATGAACTAGACATCCTCTCTGAAGCAGCGCCGTTCTCTAAACTCGACCCCGACCCGCCTATAATGAATCCCCCTACACTGACATTTGGCGAAAAAAGTCACGAGTCATCATCAAAGAGCTACGTAGCGACAACATATTCAGATGCGGGGAGTCTCGGCGATTCAAAATTCGACGAATATGCCGTCGCTTTTGCCGACGTTCTCAGCCATTCACTGTCGCCAGACTTCTCGCAGCATAATCTAGAAGCCATTTGCAATTTGCTTCCCACGCTGCTGGAGGCTTTTGCTAGTCAAATCGCTTACGAAACTCACCAGAGGCTACAGCTGCAAGTGAAATACTTGGTGCATCGAGACCAGTTGTATGTATACACAGACCCGAAGGTGGAACTTGAAAGTTGACGCATAACACAGTAGAATTATTGAGCTTCTGAGGAATATATTATACTGGGAAGCGGAAGGCGATGCTATTGATGGTGAAGACAGTCCTGAATCCTGGAGCAAGAGCGGCCCTGGAAAGAAGAATCGGGCGAACGTTAGCAAGTGGCTTTCTAAAAGCGCCGAGATGAAAAACAAGCCAGTTTTCAGAGATCTAAAATATGATCTCCAGTTAGATGACTTTGATGAGCTGGAAGACGAAACACTCCCAGATCTTACAGTATATCGACAGGCGATCGTTGGGTCAAGTGCTTATAGATCGCTTGTGTGCAGGCTGCAGGTAGAGCGCGACCTTACAGCCCCTGGAGAATACGATGCGAAAAGTGCAATACGAAATCGTATCATTAGGGCATATGGACGAAATGACAAGTTCAGCTTACAGGATTCTCGAGAGGTACAGATTGACTTTCAACTAGATTGGAACCTTCAACGATTCCTCCAGGAGCAGGAATACGACCGCCCATTAGAACAAGCTCTAGCATATGGATTAACCATCACCGGCACCGGCAATAACGTGCAAAGTGTGACTTGTATAGAGTACTTGCAACAAACATGGCCAGAGACAGGCAAAGAGTTGCTAACCCTCTTTCAGCAGGGACTCAAAGAGGGGAATCAATCCTGGGATGGTAAGATTTCATCTCTGCTCCTTAACCATTTTTCTGAGATGCGGCTTATAAGCCTTTCATGCTACCTTAACTTCTAACCCCATGTCAAGCCAGAGCGATGCTGAAGTTTAAACACAGGATTACTGCCAGGTCGAACGCGAATATATTGTCATTTTGACAGCAAATCTTCGCCATGTCTACTAGTTTCGGTGCTCGGGAATGTGTTCTCTGTCGCGGAAGTTGGGGAAATGCTCGCTTGGTTAGGGTCAGCATTTCGACCGTCACCAGCCGACAATGCGCCGGTTTACTGCTATCCAAAAATAGATTGTTTCACGGCCGAAACCCGACTGTTACTTCAACCTGAAGTTCCAGCTTCGCCACCCATTTCGGACGCATGTGTGCTATCATTCGAGCTCCGGGACATGGAAAACAGTCCTGATAGTCAAGGATCTTGCTGGCGTGGGTTGTTTAGAAATCCGGTGATCGTCGCCGGATACCCAATACCTCGTTGTCTGAGTATGGATTCAGGTCTCCAAATATCTCTTCCAGTCGTGGCGGCGCTGCTCAACACAAAAAGAGTTGTTCAATATGCCGGTACAACCTTCATCAAAGGCTTTTCCGCAATGCTAGTCGCTACCAAAGTCGTGGGACATACAGTATTCTGGCATCTAGTTTATAATCCCGAGGGAGCATATATCTCATTTGAGGATCATAGAGCCCCTCGCTGGGATAAAAATACCGGTGACCCGAAGGTTGATATACTGAGTCAAAAATACCATGTTGTTGGATGGTGTGAAAACGTCCTGAACTTTGCAGGTGTGTTGATATTGCCTGCTCATGAGTGCATTGGAAGGGCCACTAACCGCCTCGCAGGAGCTCCCGACGCAGATTACTCGATTGGTTGGTCTGGACTTCCGTTTCCAAACCAAAACTGCGCTTTTGAAAAAGTTACCATATCAGCCGGTCAGTTCATAAATGCTAGCGTAAGCTGTGTCTTGGGACTGAAAGACAAGCCGCTTCATATCAACTTTGGTGATGATTATTTTGGCATGCTTCTTAATATTTCTGATCGATATTTTGTCTTCTACGACGGGGATGAAAGGCGGTCTTGGCTTGTTGATGGAGCAAGTACCTTGTTGCATCTTCTCCGGGCGTCAATTGAGCACTATAGGAGTGACGCTCGTCTACGTCGGCTTCTCTTTACAGAGAAGATCAAATTTGATGAAGGGGAAGCTACACACACTGGATCTGATCGAGCCTTTGAGATCTTATCTAATGTGGACAACCAGAATATTCCTCTCTACCACAAAAAAACTGAATCTTGGACGGAGGTTAGCACCTTGTCAGGCACAACACCGGGCCACTCGACGAGGGAGAAAACAACCAACTTTTGTGTTCGGGATCGAGTAGAGCAGTTGTATCACTGTCTTTGTCAGATAACCGCTCATCAGGATGATGTTCACACCCAGAATGGTGTTGGGTTTAGGCTTCGCCTCACGCCAAGGCGTCAGCTAGAAGGCTTCGATTTTATGGACCTGGCAACTGGACATGGCACATTATGGCCTAAGGTTGCAACGCTCAATGCTAGAGGGCAAGGCTGGGTGGATTTTACTCGAGCCATTCACGCACCTACACTGTTTGGAGCTGGCTTTGGCGATCTCCTTTTGCCGTCCACCGCCTCAAGTCAATTGAAAACCACCAGGCTTTCTTGCAGCAACTGCTTATGGAACAGTCCCTTGCCGAAAGAAAAGGACTATCTGGCGGCCTCTGTTGTTGATATTACGAAGATCATTTGCAGAACTGGGAGCCGGAAGACACAGCCCTGGCGAGTCGTCGATAATATCCATTGGTCTACTCCAGACCTCGCGTTTGAACCATGTACAAATGGATCAGCCTGTCTCTTGAAGACGCGTAACCGTGTACAGGTTCTCTTGCCATCAGCATTTCCTAGGCTCCGAACGCGACAGAGCCCGAATAATTTAGCAGACGATGGAGCGGTGATATTCGGGCATAACACTAAGCTGCCACTCCGGTGGCCTGGGAACATAAGTATACCAGAGGAAGGAGAGCCAGACTTAGTTGACGAAGCAGAAGAGTTGCTCGTTGACAGTGGGATTGGCACAAGCGTGGATTCACAGAGCGCTAGTCAAGAGATTTCGCCTGGGAGGTCGAGTGTTTCGGTAGCACAGAACAGAGACACATCCACTTCCCCAACATCACCTTCCCCAACAGATAACAGTGTGACAGTACCGGGGAGTGCAAAACTCCCTATACGAAGTATCTACGGCATAAGGAATGATCAGTTCATATATGATGGAAGTCATGACATAAAAAGGCGCAGGTATAGTGATTCCAGAGTAGGCCTAGTTAAAAGGCCCAGACAGGAGCTAGATCAACCCTAGATGGTTTCAATATTATGCAAAGATTTCCTCTATAACTATAGCACAATATACAATATATGACAAAAGAGAGCCAAGCCGTCCATCCCTATACTCATTCTCGTTTACCTTCTCTACATTATAGTTAGGTCGATTCTAAGTGATTGTCAAAAAGCAGATAAGCTTTACCCTCCGAAAAGTAGAGAACGTTCGTAAACGCTAGCTAAACTAGCCTATTATATCTAATCCTAATATTATCATCAACAATATATTCTATACTATAAATAGATAAAGTTTCTTGGCTGCTATGGCGTGGGATACGCTGCTAGCATACCCCCCTGGTTTTGTAGGGAGCGTACGAACCAGACGGGAAAGATAGGGGGGTAGATATCCTCTCGGAGATAGGAGGTAGATATCTTTAGGTTCCCATACGATAAAATAGCTATAAATCGGATAGGTGAGAGATAATAATAGTATGATAATAGATATAAGAGTATAAGAGTTATAGAAATATGGTGGTAGAGATATAGGTGGTTAAAGTTAGGGTGGTGGATTTTAAAGTATTGTTAGGTATATAAGTATATATATAAGAGTATATAAAAGGTATATAAAAGATAATTCTAATCTTAAGGATACGAGAACGCAGGCTAACATCTCCAGGATGGAAGGATCGTGGCGACCAGTTGAGGCGCAGGAGCCGCAGTCCCGAGCCGAGCGAGCGCAAAAGAAGACGTCGCTCTCGCAGCCATAGCCGCACCCCGGATAGTGCAGAGCGGAGGAGGAGAAGCGGGAGCAGAGATGGATACCGACGGCGAACGTCTATCGATGGCAGTAGCAGAAGTTCGGAATCGAAACACCGACGGAGAGACGGGAGGGTCTCGTGAGATGGATGAGCCTTGTGCGGTATAACCCTGTCAATACATGTCAGCCGCCAACCTAAGTTCCCTGCAGCCGCACTAGACTTAGCTACCGACCTATGAAGAATTTATGCGAGCCTCGCAAAGTTTTTGAAGTCCGAACAAATTTCAGCAATGCGAATCAATGTATACGAGAAATGCATCCTATCACGAAAATCATGTATCCGACCTGCTCAAAGAAGGAAATCAGTCGGAAGTTATTAGGCATCCGCCAAGTATTGTAACCTTGGAGTCACGGTGTGGTGTGACTTCACTAGTTTCTCTGGTCTAGTATTACAAGTGCTTATTTCTGATAGTCAAGATGGCCTTAGATTTCTATATTGGTGCTTACGAATCGCCGAGATATAGTTGACTCGTACAGGGTTTGTCGGTCGTCTGAGTATCGCCTGGCACAATCAGAATCGCCAAGACCTCTCAGCAAGATATAAATTCAATGCAGCACTCTGATCTCCAAGATGCCTTCATGACACCATGTACACGATCCACCTGCAGACGCCTTTGCCCGGTTCAGCTTTACACTGATCATTGTAAGCTGTCATGATGATGCTCCTGCAGCATGCCTTTGCGGTGCTGCTACTGGCAGCCAGCAGTCTTGGACTAGCCATTGACCATACTTGGGTTTCCCAATATGGCGTCTCGCACAATGAGACATTCGTAGCTCGCGCCGATCCCAAGGATTTCTACCTTCGCATCATGCCTCTGGGTGCTTCCATCACGGCTGGAGACTATCCACCTCCTGACGATCCGTCCAAGAATGGGTATCGCAAGTTCCTTCGTGATAAGTTGCGTTCCGAGGGCTGGAAGGTCAACATGGTTGGCAACAGGAACTCGGGAACCATGGCTGATAATGTTTATAAACCCCCTTCAGCTAATTTGATTATGTTTACTAACCTCTCCTCAGGACCATGAAGGGGTTAGTGGCGACCGTGTGAGCCAAGTCCGTGCTCGTACCACCACTTCGACCAATACTTGGCTTCCCAACGTCGTGCTCATCAACGCTGGCACCAACGACGCTGTACAGGAGGGCAGTACCGAGTCAGTCAGCGGTGCACCGCTAAGAATGAAGGAACTGATCAATGCTGTCTTTGCTGAGGTTCCCAAGGCGGTTGTCGTGCTATCCACATTGCTCCCACAACAAGACCATCAAGCTAGTGTCGACAGTATCAACCAAGGATATCGGCAGATATACCGTGACTACGTGCCTTTGAGGTCCGACGGGTCAGAGGAACCCAATCCACAGTTTAAGGTTATTCTGCTTGATTTCGATGGCTTTATCACCAACGACGACATCCAACATGGCGACAACACCCATCCTACCACATCTGGTAACAAGAAGATGGCGGCTGGTTGGGACTGGGCCATTGGGGTTGCGAACGACCGCGGCTGGATCCAGCAGGCCACTGATTCGGGCAAGTTCTCCGACTCGGACGGCTCAACCACATGTCGTAAGGAATTTGGCAGCGGAGCTCAGGACACTCGCAGTGGTCGCCAGATACTCTTCGCTCGAGGTGCCGAGATCCACGACGATGGAAACTACGTGCACAAGTCACAGCTCAGAGACGATCGCGCGGGCAAGTTTGGCGACTACAATGGCGACAGGATGGGCTCGGACTCGACCATATGGTTTGCTCAGCTAGTCAACTTGGGCGGCTCGCCCAAGCTGGACGAGCGAGACGAGCTGATCGTGGCTCTAAGCGACTCTGACCTGGATGACGACACCGCGCGCAAGTTTGTCCTTTGGGTGAACGACGGTGTTGGTAACTATCAGGAAAGCCACTATATGGACGTCCCTGACAGTTGCTCCAATAATGGTGTTCGCTGGGGCGATGTCAACGGAGATGGGCTGGATGACTTCATCTGTCTCTTCGCCAACGGCGAGATGCACGTGTCAATCAACAAAGGCGGCAACCCCCCAACCTTCCAGCAGCTAGGCCTCTACAAGGGCCCCGAGCTCGGGATGGGTCGTGATAACGTGCGCTTCGGTGACATGGACGGAGACGGTCGTCTCGACTATTGTGTGATTGATAGCGGCGGCAATGTTCAGTGAGTGATCTCCTTGCTTTCTAGGAATTATCTGGTTGACCAACCGGTATAGTTGCTGGCGAAATGGTGGCATTGGCGACCGAGCTGAATACTGGCAGGACATGGGCTCCGGACAGCCAATCTTCTTGGCCAAAGGCAAGGGCGACATTCGTGGCGTTGAGCTTGTAGACATCAACGGAGAGTAAGTCTTGATGTCTCTATCGCACATATTCTCATACTGATAGGTCGCAGCGGCCGTTACGATTGGGTCTGGGTGAGCACCACGGGTGAGTGCGATACCTATATCAACCAACGAGGCGATGGCAAAGGTATGATCCCGTACTGGCGCGCCGCTGGTATCACACATCCGGGCGTCGGCGTCGATATTGGGGACAATCGCGAACACATCAAATGGAATCGCATGGTCAGCGGGCGTCCCAGCTACGTTCACTGGACGCAGAAGTGCCCTCCGAAAACGACACCTTGTGAGATAAACTGGCAGGTATGGGAAAATCTCGGAGCCGGGGGAAAATTCCAGAAAGGTGACGGTATCTACTTTGGGGACGCTACTGGCAATGGCTTTGATGACTACTTTTGGATCGATCCCGATGGCCTTGTAAACTTGTATCATAACAAGTACAACAAGGACTACTCCCAAGCCGATCTATACGTCGACACAGCTTGGGGAATTCCCATTCAGATCAATACCGGGGTTAATCGGAGAGGACTTCACATCGGAGACTGGAACGGAGACGGCCTGGTAAGCTTCAGCTTAACGAGCATTCCTTTAATAGTACTGATCACAGTGTTACAGGCCGACATTATTGCGGTCACGAACCTAGCCACAGGCTCTCTCAAAGTCTGGATCAATAACTGGGACGGTAGCAATCACAACTGGGCAGCAACTACCATCGCGGATCCTGGCCGGTCATGGTGCACCCAAGGCTTTGGCACTTTGTATCGCGATCGAGCTCATCACTTCGCAGACATCACGTTAGTTATATCCCGTTGTTCATCTTCCCAAACCAAACCTAGATACTGAGTTGTCCCTCTTCAGGGGCTCCGGTCGCGTCAGCTACATCTGCATGGCGCCCAGTGGCCAAGCTTGGGCCTGGCTGCGCGACGAGAATGGCGAAAATCCTTCTGGGCAAATCAAGTACAGCGAAGATCTCGATCGAGCTAACTTCATGTTTGCCGACGTCAACGGCGATGGCAAGGCCGATCTGCTATGGCTTGACAAGTTCACCGGCGACACCAAGGTGTGGTACTGGCAGGACAAGGTCACGGAGGCCGACCGCGCCGGCAATAGCGGAAGTATCATCAAATGGGAACGACCGCAGACACTATTTCAGGGCGCCTCTAGGGGCACCAACACGTTTTATCCCAGTCTGCAGGGGCAGCGAAGAGCTGATATGGTCTGGGCAGAAGCCACGACTGCACATGTAAGTAATGCCCGAGCACTCTTTAACTTATGTCCAGATCTTGTCTATGATTGACAACATCTTAGGCTTTCATCTCTTTCAACAGCTGCCCTGCCGGTGGTGACGATGGTGGTGTGACCCCAAGTGATCCTGGCCTCCCATCGTACACGCCTCCAGGCGGCGGTACAACGCCTGATGATCCTACGCAATGGTTCTGCGATGGCAACGGCGCCTCCTGGGATCCAGACCTCTGGCAGGCGCACGGCGTGGGGACCTGGCTTGTTGAACGCTCCGATCTGTACAGCGCTATCGACCAGAGCTGGCCAAGTGACCAGAACGTTCACGGTGTACCGCGTGTCATTGCCGAGTACGATGTGTACAATCATGACGAGGCCTTCAATTGGCCGCCCGAGTGTCTGGCCATCGACAGCCACAACGGGTGCGGCCTGGACTCGCTTGGATTGGACGAAGACTGTCCTAATAATCAGGAGAGAGCTTTCTCGCTGTGGGCAATGCAGAATTTCGCCAAATTCTTGCAGACCTGGTTCTGGTCCTTTGAGAGCGGCGTTAACCTGGCCTCCAAGTCTGTAGGCGAGATCGGCAGCACGTTCTTGTCCGTCAAAGAAGAGGACAATCCGCCGACGAGCCCTGCAGCCTGGCTTACCATTGTGGCTGGGATGTTTACGTCCATCGCAGCTTGGATGCCGGGCGCAGCGCAGATGGCGGGCAACTTTGGAGCAGGTCTTTTGACCGCTGGTGCCGGTGTAGCTTCCTTCTATGGATCTGCCACCGAAGAGCCATCCTTCGACAACTATTCAGAGATGCAGGCTGCACTTGGACGCATGCAGATCTACGTTCACGAGGCCATGGCTGCCTATTTCAACCGGATGCTGTCTGAGACACCGCCCAACAACGATCGAGATCAGGGCTCTGCGCTCGCGCACTTGCTTGAGAGCGGCGTCTGGGCCGATCAGGACTTCGCCATTTCCAACACCAGCACGACCGCAGACGGCACTCCCGTCGTCGACGGAGATCGCCTTGGCTACATGATTATGTCGGCTATGATTAGCGAGACGTGGAACACGGAGCAAGTCGCCATCGCCACGTGGTCCCGCAACAATTGGATCGCCTCAACCTACGGCTGGAACCCGTGCGATAACCTTAGCGCCGAGCGGTATGGTATGGATCACGCCATCGCTTGCCAGAACGACAAGAACTACATGATCGTCCGTGTGCCCGACACCTCGCAGAACAACAACGACTACAGGTACGTCTACACGGTACCTAAGATCGGCCAGGACGAGGACTCCCTCAAGGACTACGGCCTTAACCACGCTAGTCTGATCGGTGCTGCCGAACGCATCCAAGGGCGTGCAAGTTCGTTCATCCCGCGGGGGCTCGATGGTCTGTCCGATTTTATCCTGAGCGCGACAGACCAGCCTGGCACTGCTCGTGCCGATCATCTTTTCTATATTAACGTGCCAGTGTGCGATCTGGACCAGGTCGGCACCATCGATCACCCGGGGCAGTATTGTGATAAGGTCAGCTATGGCGATGCAGAGGACAGTATTGCGCAGACTTGTATTGTTCAGATGTTTGATTCTAATTGTCATAAGTTGAGGCTGGGGAGCAGCGATTGGCCGTATAAGGGACCGTAGTGCAGGTCTGAGAACTGGTGAGGGTCTGGAATGATACTTCTGGAGGCGTTGATTGGTGAAGCGTAGACTAATCACTTGTGTGAAATTCGAGCTCTATATATTTCTGTCCGTGCGAGCATCTCCTAATAGGAGTCGGGTTGTACATGTCCTATATTTCTATGTCATCAACCCCGTTAGGAAACTTACGGTAGGGAGATCGTAGGACCACTCAGCGCATTTAGGGACATTCAGGGGCTGAATGACAGCTCTCGCAGCCCCTGAACAGCCGCCAGTGGGCCGTTCTGTCGGATAGCAGTGGCACTGATGCTTGATCATGGTCGAGGTCTATACAACTCTGCATTCTGAAAGTTATTCGAGACTATATAAAATTTGTTGCTTTCTGCATCCTGACGTACTTCGTCATAGGTTTCTTTATGACAAGCTTTGACGATGAGAGTAGAGCATATTATATACCGTTGCACGTAGGCTAAAGCACTCTTAACTCACTTTTCTCGTAGACAATTAAACTAAGCTAATACTCTGTCAGCTAATATAGACGCGATTCGCACCTCATACATTTCCTCTTCAAAAGCGCCTAAGCCATAAACTTTCTTTACCTAAGCCAGCTTACACTTAATTATTCCCCAAACTTTAGTTTACTACATATAAATACGTCTGCCACAGCAGGCTGTAGCAAACGGAAAGATTTGACAACTATCAGAACCTAATCGCTATAATAGAAAAAGTGGTGCCATTGTAGACTAAGTAGGGTGCTACTCTAGACTAAGTAGAGCTTATTATAGACTAAGTAAGGTTGAAAACCTAATTAGGGTTAGTAAACTTTTATTTCTTACCTATAGATATTAAATATATTATTTATAATAATATTAGTTAGAGTTAATTATATAATATTTATGATTTAGTATTTATAGGTAAGAAATCATATATATTAGCTGAAAAATATACTTATAAATATCAAATAATTATAATCCATCAAATATATTATAATCTATATATATAATAGATTAACTCTAGCCGCCATACAGCAGCATACGCTGGCAGCATATCCCCCCCCGCTTAGGTAGGACGTATAGACTAGGTAGAAAAGACAGAAGGATAGATATCCTCTCAAAAACAGGGGGTAGATATCCCTAGGTTCTCATACGATAAAACGACCATAAATCAGATTAGAGAAGAGAGGATAGTAGTATGACAAATAGATATAAAAGTACTAAAGCTATAGAAGTATGATGGTAGAGTTATAGGTGGTTAAAGGTTAGATACAGATTTTGGTATGGTTTGGTTAGAGTGGTTAGAAAGAGAAGGAAAGAAGAAGTATATAAAAGATAATCCTGGCCGCCATGCAGCGGCATACGCTGGCAGCATATCCTCTCTGCTTTGTATGGGGCGCACGGACGGAAACGAAAAGACTGGGGGGTAGATATCCCCTCGGAGGCAGGGGGTAGATATCCCTGGGTTCCCGTACGATAAAACAGCTACAAATCAGATCAGACGAGAGAGGACAGTAGTGCGACAGCAGATGCAAGAGTATATAAGCTATAGAGGTATGGTGGTGGAGATATAGGTGGTTGAAGTTTGGGTGCAGATTTTGGTATGGTCTAGTTAGGGTTAAAAGTAAAAGAGGAGAAGGAAGGAGGAGAGAGACGTACGAAAGATAACTCTAACCCTAAAGGCAGAAATAACCTTAAGACAAAGAAAACCCTATATAAGTGTCAGCTTTAGACTATCCTACAAATATAAGGCTAAGATCTAGCTATAAAATCGAGATACTATATCTACTGTCATATAATGATAAAGGCTCTAGTCGTATGGTATGGTACGATATGATACGAAAGATATAACCTTAAGGATATACTATACTATATAGTAGCTATAGGGTAAGAGGCTTAATATAATATAAAAAGAAGAAGAGTTATATAACCAACCTCTAAACAAAGCCTAATAATATAATAGTAGTATGGTATATATTGATGCTATAATTTGCTTCTCTATACTAGCGGAAGAATATATTATAACGATCTATAAAGCTTTAGGTTTGACTTCTAGCTAAGCCTAACTTTTTTTTCTTTTTCTTTACCTTTTTTTCCCTTCCTTTCTTTTCCTTTCACTTATACCCTTTTCCTTCCTATCTTATCGTATGGTATATAAGGTATACTATAACGTCTAAAGCTTATATAATTAAGACGGGCTTGATAGTATAATGATAGTATAATATATATCGATATAATAATAATATAAAGTAGATAAAAGCTATCTTATATTATCATAATAATTTATAAAGCTTTAGATTTGACTTTTAGCTAAACTAAACTTTTTTTTCTTTATCTTCCTTCCTTTCCTTTCTTTTTCTTTTTCCTCTTTCCTTCTTCTTTTTCCTTTCAAACCCTTTTCTCCCTACTCTATCATATAGTATATAAAACATACTATAACGTCTAAAGCTTATATAATCGAGATAGATCTGATAGTATAATGGTAGCATAATATATATCGATGCTTAAGCCGATGCTACTAACATTATAATATAGCTTTAGCAATCTATAAAGCTTTAGATTCGACTCTTAGCTAAACTAAACTTTCTTCTTCCTTTTTTTTTTTTTCCTTCCTTTTTCTTTCCTTCCTTTTTTCCTTTTTTCTTTTATATCATACGAACACTATGGGGGCATTATATAAACATTCCTCTAATATGTCTATAATATAGTATAAAGAAAAGAATCTAGCAGATATATTGTAAGCATATTCTATAAAGATTATATAAGCTAGCTATAAACACTATAGTATTAGAGAGTATATCTAACCTAACCTTCGTTCAAGCGGCTAGCTAGGATAACTTACTGTCGGCCGCCATAAAGGGACTCTCCCTTCTAACCTTAGATAATATATTAGCTAAGTATGATAATAGCGGCTTTTCTACTAACAACTATTAGAAGATATCTTAGGTTAAGTACCTTAATATCAAAGTGTTAGATGATGATAACCTTAATAAAGTGTTTCTTAAGATCGAATACCTTAATATTAAAGATGTCAGATGATGATAATAAAGTATTTCTTAAGATAAGATCGAGTAGAGTATAAAGCTAGAGAAGCTTATGATAGCCTTCTATAAACGTTAGAAGATAAGGCTATAAACTTTATCTGATTCTTCTTTAAGAGCTAACTAGCATATATAGCCGTCAGATATATATAATACCTT